TATAATAATCGCACCTTTATATAGGTGCGAGAGCGATTTAATGATTTTTGTAAACTTTAGATTTAGCTAGGATATTTGAATCGTTCCATCTTAACAACGTATACAATTCTCATTCGTAATTGGCATATTATAATTGTTGGTCATTATATGTTTTTCGTGTACTTTTATACTTGCTCTTCAAAGATCTGCATGCTAATTATATCAGCTAGGTTGTGTTTTTTACGTGAAATTTAGTCATTCTATCTATTTATAATTTAAAGCATGCATGCATGTATTCTTGCATGGAAAAATTTCGTCTCCAATTAAATTATACTAAATGTCCTTGATATATAAAAAAATATTTTTGCTAATTTGAGATCCAAACGACTCAACTAATGATACAGTATGAATGCTTGTATTAAGAGTCATTAATTAACAATTTGTAATAGTATGAATTGTCAGTTAACAGAATTATTTCGTATCAATTAACAGTACTTTAAACAATTTTTAATTAGTATATGATGTTCCAGCGTCAGATAGCTATATTTTTTTGCAAAAGCCATTATATAACTTCGATTAAAAAATATCATAATTTCCGATTTAGACAATTATGGTATAAAAACAAAAAGTCACAGAAAGCAACATTTCTCTATCAAAAGTTAGCTTAATCGTCAATTATCAATAATTAAGTAGCACATGCATAGCATAAAATATCAATAAATAAATTATAATTATCAATGAGAAGAATCATGCAGATATAATAAATTTCCGAATTTTAGATTATGATTTTGCAAAATTTTCAATTTTAAATTAACATTATTATTAAAATCAAATGCATACATGACAGAAAGGTATAGAGAAAATTATTAGGAAACTATTAATTATATCTTGATTATTAACCATCAATTGGAAGATTTTCTGGCAAAAATTCTATTATTAACAGTTCGCAGAAACATATAGCTCATCAAATTGTATAAATATCATCAATAATAATTATAACAAACATCATCGATCAGTTTGTAAAAACATTATATATACATAAACTGTTTTCAAAAATATCTATATACTCCGATTGCAAGAAATCAACTATATTCACTTTTCCAAAAATCTTTAATCAGTTCGCTGAAACATCAATAATCGTCGCAAAAACATTTTTTTAGAACATTCAATCATGACGGCAGGATTAATAAAATATATGTATTAAATATAGAAATGCTTATTCCAGTTTCAAAAGACATGCGCGATTCTTGGACGAATTTAAAATTACGAAAGAACTCATCACAGCTGAAAACTTAATTCAACGCAGACGAACCAAACAAATGCATGAGTATACCCATCACAGCTGCGATAACAGAATTCATGCAACGCAGACGAATCAAACATATATATAGCCAACTTGTTATAATATGTTAATTGGATAATATTTACCTATCCAATATTTCATTGCAGAAAATGTTTCATGGATTGTCAATAAACTTTTTATCACGAGTCTTTTTCAATTATACTCGTAAGAATCCTTTTATTGCGATTCCTTAATTAATATGCTTTGGATTCCTTTCACATTACCACATATAAAAATATTTTCCCGCAAATTCCGATCTTTAATCAGACAGCACAATACATATAGAGGCAGGAATTTCCTAAAGTTAATGTCAATTATATAATGCACAAAATATATTGCAATATATATAATTGCTGGATCGCGGGTCACTATATATAGCTGGATATGGACGCGTGCTGATATTCAACATATATGAATATGATTATAATCGTAATCAGCACATAAATATGATTATGATAGTGAATATGGAGATGTATAACATGCAATTTAGTTAATATGACACGAATATATAACAAAGTATAAGTATGTGCATATAAAAAAAAAACGATCAGATGATGGAAGCAAATATATAGAATATATTACGATCAATTCTGGGCCTGCTATATATAATTAATGGAACGGCTGAGTTTTTTAGGATGTAAGAGTAAATACTTTAATTAGTTTGAAAGCTTAATTATATCTTTACTACTAATTTTTGTACTTGAAATCGTATTTTAATATTTAAATAACAAAATCGAGCAGCTATATATATATAGGCAAAAGTCCTTTCCCTGAAAGAAATTTGTTATTCATGCATGATATGTTTCTCTAACATTAATTACAAGCTAGATGCATTATTCATGCATGCATGTGCCGGAATACATATATATAATACTATACTAAATTTCCGCTCTAAAAATTTTCGCTATAAATTGTTCAAGTTGTTTGATTATTTTTTACTAATTTACTACATTTAAGTGAAGTTTTATAGTTGTATATACTCTCACACATTTTGCACGCGTGTTAAAATCTGCATGACGTTAATATCATTATTTAGCACAATTAAGGGCAAATTATCCGGATTTTCCATTAATCTCAATTGTATCCGCGGACAACTCAATCGGAAAATTATATAAAAGTTTTAAATGATTCCAAATTGATCACCAAGCCAGCGTATATATACGTCGGGTTGACAACAATAACTCGTATCTCTTGATATAGTATCTGATAAAGTTATAAGCATATTTATCGCCTTTGAAGGAGAGATATCTATATAGTAAGTACTGTATATATCCCTTCTTCATTCTACATTCTACTACATATATAGATCCATCTATATAGCTGTACATGCACGTATACAATCAATAAAATAAAAAATATTTCAGAGGAATTATTCGTGCATGCAATTAATATACATGCACATTTTTGTTCGTCACATCTACTATATATATATATAACTATATAAGAGAAGACTATATCGTCTATAGTGTATATACATGTCGTGGACATGTCCATGCACGACCGGCTGATGTATATTATATATAGACACGGGATGCATGATGTATATATAAACACAGATGAGGTATATATTTAAACGCGCGGGGAAGACAAAATTTGGAAAATGTCATGCCATGAATATTATACTCTCATCAATATATGCATGGTTTTTGATTAACAATCTACATGCTTAACAATGAGCCATATTGAAATGTTAGCGTCTATATATACGTCGTAATTTTGTATATATGTTCGGTCAGTGGCAGCCGTATAAAATTCATATCGTGCAGCATGCATTATATATTTGTTAATTGTGTTTATCGTGTGATGTCAGTATAATTATATGATGGCCGGCTGCATATGGCTGCATAAGTGTTGACAGAAATTAATTGCTGGGGCCGATATATAGGAACTATTCATTCGAAAATCACAATTAATCCTATATATATTACGTATACACTACACAGCTATATACAGTATACTGTATATAAACCAGTCCTCAAGTCGCAATTATTTGCAGGTTCATTAACTCGCATCTGATGTATACATGATCTGAATCATACATGATGAAAACTACCAAGTAATAATCAGCACCAACACGCCGCCGCTTCTATACCACTAAAGGCCACTCATGCCACCATGTACACCACTCAAGGCCACTCACACCACCACCACTCAAGGCCACTCACGCCACCACCACTCAAGGCTACTCACGCCACCACCACTCAAGG